TCATCTTTTTAAGTGGGAGAACTTGCACAATTGGTGGCTGACTAAATACTTTTTTGCCCCACTGTATATCTATGCTTGGAGCAATCGAGGGGCAACACATAGTTCAGTCCTATGTGTCTGTTCTGTCTACAGGCTAAATCACAGAACCCAGTCACTGACATGCAATTGGTGCAGTTTGGTATAACACAGGATGGTGGATTTCAGGCTTGTAGGATCTGGTTTACTTTTTAAATTAAACCTGGAGATCAGTTGACTAGAATCTGGTACAAACAGGATTCTGACCCAGGGATTTCTTTTGTGTATGATAAATGAATGAAACGCGCAGTCCTTCCACGCATACATCCATTCCCATTTTTCCAAGCTTGCTTCATAAAAGCAATATAATGTAAGATGGAAATCTTGTACTTGCTGCTGTTAAACATCCAGGACTCAGAATGTCATGCTGATCTGTTGTAAATCAAGTGCCAGATTTTATTAACAGTAAAATTAGCTGACATTTTGAAAATTGTTCCTTCTTTTACAGTCTCCCTCTACCTCTCCGCAGTGTCAAAATGTTCCATCTGAATGTCTTCCAGAGGTGACTTTAGGCCCACCTTACATTAGCAAATGTTTAGTATGTAGAATAAACAACAGTTACTCTAGCAGTGTAATCTTAAGAATTTGTAAGGAATTGCATTGGTTCTGTGTGATAAAATTTAGTGTCCTGAACCCTTGAGGGTTTGGTATAATGTAAAGTCCAAAATGTACCTATCGAAATCTAATCTGGACATGTCAAATGAAATTTTAGACAACCTTCTGAAAAAAAATATATACTGGAATGTTTGACCAGCCAGTATCTAAAATTTGTGAAGCTCTGCTTATGCTAATCAGTTCCTTTTTTCTTGCTGATAACATGTTATATACTGTTTTTTGAGCTTTTTCCATTGTATTATCTTTTCATTTATTATTGCTGTCCTGCATAAATCATTTCTGACATAGATCTTCCAAATATAGTACAGGTAGTCCTTGCTTATTGACTGCCTTATTTAGCAACTGTTTGAAGTTATGACACTGTTAAAAAAAAAAAAAGCTTTGCAACCAATCCTTGCATTTACAACCATCACAGCTTCCTATGGTCATGTGATCACCATTCAGGTGCTTCACAACCGGCACACATTTACGACTGTTGCAGCATCCCGCGGTTACATGATCACCATGTGTGTGCTTCACAACTGGCACGCGACAAGTAGAGTTAATAGAGAAGGCAGATGTAAAATCTCATGGTCAAGAGATGTTTCGCTTAACAACTGAAGGGAAAGTGAAATCATAAGCCTGTCAAGGTCATGTGATTTTCCACTTAGCGACTGCAGCACTTAGTGATGGAGTTGCCAGTCCCAATTGTGGGTGCTAAGCGAGGACTACCTATAGGTTCCTATTTGTGACAGATAATGGAAGCTGTGAATACTTTCTCCTAATACCTTAGCATTTGTTTTGTTTTGTTTTCCAGTTGTTGAATGTGGCCACCCCCAACATCCCTGAATATGTATACTTGTGCAAAATTCATTTCTGCCTCCACCCTGGTGAGTAACTAAGATGTATCTTCTTGGGTATTTTTAATAGTGTGCTGGCTTTCAAAACAACTGGCATGTTGACAAGTACAGTGCATTCGGAAAGTATTCAGACCCCCTTCACCTTTTTCGATTTTGTTATGTTGCAGCCTGATACTACAATCATTCAAATTCATTTTTTTTCTCATTAATCTACACAAGGTACCCCATAATGACAAAGTGAAAACAGAATTTTAGAAATGTGTGTAAATTTATTAAAAAGGAAAAACTGAAATATCACATGTATCGATTTTGTTATGTTGCAGCCTGATACTACAATCATTCAAATTCATTTTTTTTCTCATTAATCTACACAAGGTACCCCATAATGACAAAGTGAAAACAGAATTTTAGAAATGTGTGTAAATTTATTAAAAAGGAAAAACTGAAATATCACATGTACTTGAGTATTCAGACCTTTTATTCAGTACTTTGTTGAAGCACCTTTGGCAGCAATTACAGCCTCGAGTCTTTTTCGGT